CCTATGAAAGTGTCACTCACTTTTAATGAAACTTTGCATATTTGTAGTCGAAATCGTCAACATAGATTTTCTACTTATTTCACTTAATATATGTTAAATCTACTCTTACCTTTAAGGGGTAGTTTTCATCCTTCAGAATTATGAGCCTTTGCCGATAAAAAAAACGTGTTAAATATTTTTCAAAGTTCTACAAATATGCAAAATTTCATTAAAATCGATGAGTGACACTTCCGTAGATATACTTGTTAGTCGGATTTGATGACTTAATAGTTTCATCGTAAACAGATTTTAAGCTGATCACGAACCTTAATAATCCTCAAATTTTGCTACATTAATTTTATTCGTGAAATAATATAACATGGGAACAATGTATATATATATAAATTGAGCTGTCACATACCCAGTATTTCTGACATATTAAATATCTCTCATTTTACAGACTATAGCCATCACAACTTTCGACGCTGTTGTAATATTATATTAATATATTATATAAGAAGAGGACTTATTATTAGAATAGAAATAAAACTATCAACCCTGTTAATATTACGCTAATTCCGTGGAATAAGAATATCACTATAAATCATTTGCATCAATTTGCAAATGCGATAAAACATTGTATCATTAATTTTATCATGATACATTTGCTACAAATAACGTCTATATTAGGACCAACAGTATTTTCAGAGATGAAAAATGGTATTTTAGAGTTAATTCATTATTTCTGATTGTCTTTATGTATTATTCAATATCGTTTGTAACTTCCACTAACGACAATGTATGTTGTGATATTTGTGAAACTGCCGAACTAAGAGGTCTTGATCTAAATATTATTTCTAACATATTTCCACGTACTTAGAAACGTATTGAAATTGACAAATCTTGTTTGAATTTTTTACCGATAATATAACACATTATCCATAAGATGGATTTATTAATATTTTAACAATTGCAAGTGTCATCTTTATTTTAATGCATAATATAGCAAGTCCTCTCGTGAACCTCTCTGTAATGGGATACACCTAGACAAGTACGTAGTCGATTGACTATATATCATCTGAATTTGTTTTCATGCTAAATTGAGCTACAGTTATCACACATACATACATCAATAATATGTACGTTAATGTACCACTTGAATAATATCACGGAGATATCTCCAACGCATTTAGATTCAATATATGAATACTTTGATCATAGCTGTTTAGGAAATGATAATCGTGTAGCAAAAGAGTAGAAAAACATCAACAATAAGAGGATATCAGTTATATTATTTTTGTTAATATATATTTCTGCAAGATATTTTTCAGCTTCTCAAAGATTTTAAAATAATTTATTTTACAATTTCAACTGCAGATATTTTATTAAGATGCTTAGTAATCTTATAAATAAATTAAGAAATTTAAGTAAGTATTCGATCAAAAAATATTCAATTTATGGACAGATTTATTTTTACCTGTATTTGTTAATCGTAATATAAACTCTGTTCGTTTCCAGAGTTGATATTAGAAACAAGTTGGAAAATAGAAAATGGCTAATCAAGTAGCTAATATAGTTGATGGAACGGTACACAATTACTTCAAGGTAGCTTTAAGGAATATTTAAAAGTACTGATAGAATCTATTTTCTGACTGAATTTGTGTTTATACCTCATTGATAACTTCGGCCATCGAGCCAATGAGGCTTATGCTCTGCCATAATACGTTAATTATTGCTTTAATTTTCCATGTGTTTAGTCACCGAACCCTGCCCGAGGGTGAGCGTAGGTGCGATTTTATGTAACCGGTTCGATAATCAATCACGTCGCGCGACGATCCATCTGACATGCCGTGCCTGTGTTTCCTGCTCCACCTGCAAATTAAAATTATGTTATTCATGATAATTTTAACAATCGTTACCTAAAAATCTCAATCAACATGCAAAACACGATTTTTTTATTGCCAATTCGACAGGAAAGGCGTGGAAACTTTCGAACATTAATATCCTTCATTGTTAAATACAATGCACAATCACAAAAAAGAATACAAGACTACAAATACTATTTTGTCTGTATTATAACTATTCTCTTTCATATTTAATTTGTAGTACACAATACAAGATAAATTTATTTGATTTTATTTATCATATTTTGTTTACATACAGAGTAGTTCATTTTAATCAATCCAATAAAATATCTAATAGAATATCTTAAAATCTTTAAGTTTGAGATAAAAATGTTTCAGACAAAAGTCACTTAGTTACAAATGAGAAACAAGATAATCTTGTCTTGAGAAGATATCCTTAAGATCAGATTAATATTACCTAAAATTTTTTTAATGAAATTATATACAGGATGTTTAATAAGTAATGATAAAACTTTCGTATAAGGATAGAGTGGACTAAACTGAGTCGAAAAGTCCTCGATCATTTTACAATTTTCACAATAGTTAACAAAATATTAATTATTAAAAATTGCCGAATATTGATTTTCAATAATTTTTTACTCAAGTACTATCAACTTTACAGAAAAATATCAAAAATTGTTTATTTTCTTCTCATAGAACTCTAAGAATTTTTTCAGAATTTTTTTAGTACCGTATTTTCTCATGTTGGTAAAAATAGTTGCCGATATAAGAAAATGCACTACTAAAAAGTTGATAGAAAATTCTGAAAAAATTCTTAGAGCTCTATTTGATGATTTTTATCAGTAATTGATATCTTGTTAATTATTGTATAAAAATTGCAAAATAATAGAGAACTTTTCGACTTAGTTTAGTCCATTCTATTCCTATGCGAGAGATTTTTCGTTACTTATCAAACATCCTGTATATTGTTTATATATGATTTCACTAATTATTTTACATATAAATTAAAATATTAATTTATAAGGTAGAAATAAAAAAATCAATCATAGTTATGAGATATTAAAAATATTTCATGTTAATATTTGTCAGAATAAAGTATAAAATATCTCATAAACTATTTTTACTTATTATCTCTACCTTAATATTTTCACATACAGAATAATATTATAAAGAAAAATCATTTTATATAAAAAAAATATAATTCCATTAAAAAATTTTAGACAACCTTGACCTGTGCGTGCGTGCATGCGCGCGCGCGCGCGCGCGCGTGTGTGTGTGTGTGTGTGTGTGGTGTGTGACCTTAAGAACATCTCTTCTCAAGGTCAACCACAATCACCATCTTCTTTCCCTCTTGTAACTAAGCAACTTTTATTAAAAACATTTTGTCTCAAATTTAAAAATTTTGAGATATTATAGTGAATTAATAAAAACGGATCACACTGATGTATATTATAATATATTTCAAAAAACTATAAATTTAATTTATTATCTAATTTATTATATTATTTCTAATTTGAAAATGTTTCTCAATGTCTATAAATTAAAAATTTTGAATTACTTTCCTATCTTTATTTAAAATTTGTTATGTCTACTATGTATTTTTATTATTATATTATAGTATTTGTAGAAAATCACCACGCGAAATCAAATTTATATTCAACGCAAAAAGTCACGGATATCCCAGTATATTATATGGAAATATTATATAACTTTATCACGTCTTATTTAATATATAGCAAATTTCTGATCATATATAGTCGAATTTATATAAAAAATATACATATAACCAAATATATAATTGATTACATGGGATTGCCCGTTTCGTTTTGCAAAATACACATTTAACAAACTGAATGACAACAGTAATTATATCATTGAATACCGAACAGCATGACACATGTCACTATGCATCATTCCAAAAATTTATGTGGGAAACACGGACGATATATGTATACGATAAAAATAAAAATAACTTGTAACATTTACGAATACCTGCAACATTCACGGAACAGGGTACTAAACAGATCGATCACTATGAGCTAAGATAAATAGATGCGAAGAAATTTATAATTTTATAAAGGCATTCCTCATTGCACGCATCGCACGCATATGCTTTCATATCGATATAACAGGGCCCCTCACAACTGACTTATACTTTTTTATTGAATATTTTTTTATTTAAAGTTGTACACACATCTGTGTGAAAATATAAAAACTTCGATACTTAAACTTTTTGAATTAAAAAAAATAAGATAAATAGAGAATAACTTTCAATGTACGTTTAAATAGACAAGACAATCTTATTATTTTCTTTAATTTTAAATTCTATTTAGAATTCTATTCTGTTTTTATCGTAATTTTAAATTTTGTTATTTCTTATTAAAATATTTAAATATTAAAATATTTAATATTGTAAAAAATAAAGTATTGTACATATATATAAAAGATACTTCGAATTAATTAGAAAGAAATATAAATAAGTACTCTTAATTTAAAATACCCTGTATATACCCGCAATTAGCGTTCGGCGTTTATTAAACTCTACGTTACATTAATCACTTAGGCGCTAGCTTAAATAGCAATTATAACATTTTATGCAACTCAATATTCAGCGCTTTCAAGATGATTTGCGACTGCCACTCACTAACAAATCCCTGCTCAATTACCTCGAGCGTTACAACAAAACTCTACACGGTGCTACTCGTCGCCAGCCAACTATCACGATCACGTTCGATTTGATCTTGATCACTTCCTGCACCTGATTCCTACCTGTTTCTCTCTTACCGCGTCACGCGTGGCTTCGCCACCAGCCTGATTGTTCTCATACCTTGATGTTGATTACGAGGATCATGCGAATAGCTGTTGCTGACGACGGTGGTGGTCGAGGTGATGGAAGTCGAGGTAGAAGGAAGGACACGGCGTGATTGGGTTTCAGAGGTCGAGCTGTATTGTTGAGGGTTGTTGTTAACATGTCGAAGAATGGCAGGCTGATTGCTGCTGTTGCTGCTATTGTTGTTGTTGTTGCTGATCGGCAGCAGCGTCTGACCATCTCCATGCGCGGCAGAAACGCCGTAGCTCCTCAGACGGTGCTGACGTTGCTGAAGGGATGTTCTG